TCGGGATTTCAGAATGATATACTTGACCAAAGTTTTTTATTTTCCGTTCCTAACAATGTTTTGAAAGGTTTTTTCTACTTTTTTTGAGCTACAACCATGCTTATCATTTTAGCATACTAAATCCCCATAAAACGACTCAGTAATTTAGTATTCCTGTTATAAAATGTATAGTCATTTATTGAGTGATATTTGTTGACCAAATTATAATATAAATGGGATAATTTGTAAAAAATGTAGACTACATAAAAATAAGCTATTGTTTTTTTAAATTTTAGTTTTATGTTGGTTTAAATATATTTATGTTGAGCTCAACTATATTTCTCCTGTCGTACTTACAATTGAATTTAATTAAATAGATACAATTTTTGTAAACCGTTTCCTTATACAAACATGCTCATTTTGTAGTTAAACATTCACGGATTGACAACAAAATACAACACTACGTATTGTTGATGTTGTTTAGTACTGATTTATGTTTGCTTAATGATTGCATTCATTTACTATATCAAATACATTATGCAATATAAAAATTGATTTTTATCTACTTCATTACATCATTCTGAAATAGATTACAATGTCTAAATTTTATCTTAAAATTTACTGGTAAGTACAGTACTATGCCACCTGAATAATTACTAGTACGCTATATTTTTATTCATAGACAAAATGGACTCGACAAAAACTCATAGATTCATCGAGAAATTTGATACTTTAAGTAAGCGTTTCTTTCAGCCTTACTTTGGCAACTATTATCTCAAAAATAATTACACCTAAGTGAACGCGTAATTGTCTAGGTATTATAAACTACATTATAGAATTTGAAACTTGATGCTACTATGCGAATATATGGCAGTTTTATACGACAATACAATGCTGATACATGTAATAATAGTGTATAGAATAGTATCTTATGTAACACTCAATTTATATTTTATTTTGATTTTAGTTTTTGATTAATATTGTGTTGGCAAAAAAATACTGGAAATACAAAATATTGAACATAAAACTTTATAAACTTATTTTAAAATGTATTCTACTTCAATAATATGCTTGTATTATATTTATTTTATATACGATATATGGTAAAAATATTTTATATTTTTTTAAAGAGATACCATTGAAAATATAGATATTTTTTTTATGAGGAAAAATTATCACGAAATTTGAACTTGTTATACTGTTTTAAGATGTTTTCTGAAATGTGATAAAAACGTACCGGTGAACAATTTGAAATGGTATATACTTATATTGTTTATTAACTCTTGGGATTCTTTTTTCGTTTGTTCGGGTTTACTTAAAATTAAAACGCTCCCTCGCCAGATCGTTTCTGAATGAAAAACTAATAGATTGTTATTATAACGTATTTGTTGTGGTTCTTGCGGTAAGTTTAAAGGAGTAAGCAAAGCTGTTTGCCGGGCGGGTAATGTATGTCAGAGCATATGTGTGGGTGGACCGATATATTAAAGAGCAAGAGGTATGCTATTGACAACCGAGTGCGATGTTTTTGTCTGCCGTTTCCATCCTTTGCCTTTCTTGTTCACTTTCACCTTCGCCTGTATGTCGACAATCTGCCGAGCGTTGTCACTTAATGTAAACACCCTATACCTCTGCCACCACATCGTTATCAAGTAATGGATTTTTGGTAATGTACATCATATTATAATAAATTCAGTGCTTAATGTGTTTTTATAAAGCGTGTGGCTTCCTTTAAACGACGCGAACAAAGCACTGACTACAAGAACGTTGTATTATTCGGGATTGCATAGATTCTCACCAAACAAAATTTATTTTTCTAGGTTACAATTTCTCTTACAAAAACAGTTTAATTTCTAAAATCAATCATAATGACATACTTTTAAAAATAGTGTCATTTGGATAAATTTTTAATAAAATATTTGTCGGAAATAAGGCTAGAGCACTAAAATGTTGTCGAGAAAGAGAGCTGTAATGATGTAACTACTTTGGGGGTATATTATTCATTATAAAAATATAATGAACAGAAGAAGGTTTAACTCAATTAATTTAATAACGTGAAATTGATAATTTTTTTTTTTTTTTCATAACTAATTTTAAATTTTAAATAATGTCTTGTGTACTAAAAATAAATTTAATTTTAAGTTACTTTTCAATTTCTTTTTTTATTGATTTAATATTTGTCAAATCTTAAATCGCTATTATTATATTTATCGCTTATTATTTAATATGTTTATAGAATATAACAGTTTTAGCTTTAGACTAACACAATATAAATTCATTTATTCTATAAAGGTACAAATTAAAAATATGAGTTATGAAAAATTGTATTTGTTAGTATTAAAAAATATATACATTCAATACCTATATACACCATATGATGTTCTGTTTGTTAAAAAAAATAATCATTTTAAATTTATTATATCCATAAACTTGCATAAAACAATATTGAGAACAAAACATAATTATTTATTTTTATTTGGAAGGTTAAAATAATTACAAAAAGGTTTTTCTGATGGAACTCTATTATTTATTTTTTAGTCCTTTGCGTTACTTTTTATTTCAATGATTCCGATATTTTTTCATATGCCTTACAATACTTTGCATGATTCGGAGAAAAATAATTGCGTTTGTACTATATAATCTAAAGCCAATTAATTCTATTCTTTTGAATTAAAACAATATTGTTTTTCCTTGAGCTAAAAAAGTAAATTACAAGTTATGTAGAAAAATAATAGTATTTTATTCAATAAAAAAACTTTTGTAAGTACTAAAAATATAAGCCAGCAAGATAGTTTCAATTTTATTTCGATAAGTATATTGATATTTAAAATATTATATAATTTTGTGTAAAACGAAAATATTTATTAGATTAGCCTCTGATGAGTTGTTATGTAACGGATGTTTTATGAATTTTTATTTATTATTTTCACTGATATTATATACATTTTTTTTTATTTAAAATAATTCAATATCAAGTCATAATAGTACAACAATTCGCATAAATACTACTTATAAATAAACATTTGGTTATTTCATTAAAATTTATATACACTTTATATTACATTACTTTTATAAAATTCTTGTATTGCGTTTTTAAGTAAGCCGTTCTTATATTTTTAACGGATGTTAATTCACAAGGTTGTCGTAGGTTTAACAACGTAATTATTTTTGAAAAATGTTTATAATGGTTATTAAGGTTGTTATTTATGTATGATATCTGAGCTTATGTAAATTTATCCAACATTAAAAAAGTTTTTGGGCGTTTATAGTTACCTTAACATCATACTCGCACTACTGAATAAATGAAGAGTAATTTTTTGATTTAGTTTAAAATGACTGAATTTTCTTAAAATGTTAGGTACGTTCAGTAAAATGATAGGTTGTCATCATCACAATTATTTTTATTTTTTAAATTANATGATAGGTTGTCATCATCACAATTCTTTTTATTTTTTAAATTAAATGAATGAAAATTGTATTATGAGAAAACAACAAAGAATAATGCCATTGGCATTTGCTAAATAAATTGTGTTATTTCACTTGTAAAATAATGGAATACAATGCATAGTATTTGTATTTTTTATTAGTTTAATTTTAATAGTTTATAGTTAAGTTGATTTAATAAAATCTAAATCACTGATTTAATCAAGTTATTTCTTATCGAAAAATTAAACATTTTTTTTCATTATTTCTATATTTATTTAAATATCTATTATTTAAAACATAAATTCAGCCAATGATTTGGAAAAAAATTAATAGAAGTTTGTTGTTATAAAATAGAATTGGTAGTAAAATACATAAAAATGGTAATCTTGTTTTTGCACATGGATGAAATAAGTATTTCAAGAAAAGTATTATTTGAAATAAAATAAAAACGCTATCAAATATCTTGTTTTATTATCGAAAAGGTAGGTTGAAACATTTAAATCGATTTTCATACACACCGAGTATGAAAATTTACAGTAAGTAAACGTTGAATTGTATAGAAATGTAGTTTATTTAAAATTCTTAAAGTAATACCTAAATAGAATAAGAAGTATTAGAATTTGCACAACAAAACAATATTTGAAGCCATTTCAAATTGTTTNAAATTTACAGTAAGTAAACGTTGAATTGTATAGAAATGTAGTTTATTTAAAATTCTTAAAGTAATACTTAAATAGAATAAGAAGTATTAGAATTTGCACAACAAAACAATATTTGGAGCCATTTCAAATTGTTTTAACACTTATTGAAAAATAAGAAATTTTTGAAGATAATACGTTTATTTTTAAACAAAATATTATTGCTTATGTGCTCTAATTCAAAAATGTGTGAATTAATTTGAAGTATATGGTTTTGTAGATGGCATAGTGAATTCCGTCGATAGTTTCTACAGACAATTTATGAGGTTGAAAATGCAGTAATCTAAAATCGTTTAAGGTGTATATTAAGTACCGAATTTTCCATAACTGACTAAATTTTCCCATTAAGATACAGTTAAGTTTAAACGAAAAAGATATGCAAATTTCAAGTTATTGACATTTAAATCATGCATAATTTCAACGATGTGCGTAGTTAAACAATTATTAATTGTAATCTAATTTATTTACAGAATGTCAGGGAATATCAAATATGAGCATAACTATGCCAGCAGCCGTCGCGTCTGGCGAATCTGTCAAAATGACGTGTACGTATAATTTGGGAACCGATCCTTTGTACACAGTTAAATGGTACAAAGGCAGTAAAGAGTTCTTCAGGTATGTACCGAAAGAATTGCCACATACACGAGTGTTTCCGTGGCCTGGAATCAACGTAGACGTAAGTAATCGAGAGGTTTTTTTAAAGTTAATCAAATAAAATAAGTTTTAACAAAACGAAATGAAAATAATAATTTTTATATCAATTATTTTGTATGATGTTTTTTATTATAAAATTACAAACGCATTTTGCTCCAAAAGCTTTGATGGTTTAATATTTCTACATAAAACACTAATTTACAAAGCCAATTAAAACGGAATTGATTTTTTTCACGAAGCATGCAAACAATTCAGTTTTGAAATCTACGGCATTCAACCCTTCGTATTTTTATTGCCTTTAAAATTTATTAATTAGCGATCGCTATATCGTCAAAATATTCTTACAAAGCGGTTCATACATAGGTCATTGAGTACATCACAACTAAAGTTTAATGTATGACTGTAATAATATTATGGTTGTGCAATAAACGTGTTAGGGCCTATTTAAATCAGTAATACATGTTTGAATTTAAAACGGCGTGCGATTAACTTTTGGTGCGGTGTAAAGCATAACGGCATCGAAATACACATTGGTATACAATGGAGATTTATCACCTGTTCATTGATGCAAATGGCAACCGTATTATTCATGTTTTCCTATAATTTCATTTTTGCCTGAACACAACCATTCCCTTACTTTCATTCAAACTAGTATAAATGTATAAAATTATTTTTTAACAACCGCTTCCCCGCCTATAAGTTCAAAATCACTATTTGACTGAAAACCTATGTAGATTTTAATTGTAGTGTGGTTAAGAATGGGTATAAGGTATAAGTGGGTAAACGTTATTAGTAGAAACCAGTAAGAGCTGCTTCCGCACTTACTATTATCTCGCTCTATATATATTAAAATGCTTGTAACTTAATATGTACTCGTACTAAGTTATCAGTTAAATTTGGTTTGCCTGTGTATTTCGTTAATGAACTTTTTATAGCTAATTTATAAACGAAAAAATCTCTGAAAAGTAGTATCTTACCTTCAACAGACAATGAGTGTAATGTAAATAGCACAAAGAATATTATATGTGCTTTCTTTTACTTAAACTCTATGCTGATAGGATATTGGCTATGATATGTTATTATTATTATTATTTGTTGTATCATAAGACGTTTTTTGGAGGTCTTCCCATTTTCTAATCATTTTACACGTCATAACCTCTATAAACTTGACATCACGTTGGAATAGTGCTGCAAAAGTTTTTTTTAAATTGAAAGGAAAACTTTATCTTGTTCAAACAAAATATTTCAAAATTATTCAAGTACTTTTTTATGTTCCTAAAACCGATGAATCTTAGAAAATATAACATTAAGAAACAATGGAATGTTTATAAATTAAAGTTTCTATGGACACGACATAATGGTGTCTTTATCAACCATTTTATTTCAGGCAATGAAAAAAAAATCAAATTAAGTTTAATTAAATTAAACTATTATTATTCTTTTTTGTTTAAACATTATAAAAAGTAAAAATTAAATTAATTTTGAATGAAATTCTTTTTAGATAAAATAAAACAAATGATATAAGTGTATTTTTAAATTTGGAGTTTTGTATTATGATTTTAATAAAATTAAAAAAAAAAGTTTTATAAAATATTTACTGTATAAAAATGTATTTGAATTTATTAAAATATTTATCTATAATCATTAATATGTTAAATTTTTCACCATTAGCATACAAATTATAATGCAACATTTCGAGAGAAAAAGATTATCAAATTAACTTTATGAGATTAACTAGTTAAATTGGGTCACCTCCTTTTCCACCAAAATATAATTGAATATTATGTCTGATATTTTATAAGAAACCATATACACTATTAGGGCAAATCACTAGATTTCTCATAAAATACTGTTTAGGTTAAGAAAATTATTTTTTTTATTTCTTAGTTTTATAAATTTCTTAATATATGAGCCATTAGTTACATTTTTAATTCAATCCTTACTTCTTATAAGAGTTAACACTCTTAAGTAAACACTTAACTTTGTTAAATGGATACATACATATTGACTAGCTTAATTATATATTAAATATAACAATTTACCATTTAAAAGTATTAAAACTACTTATAATATTATCCTAAATTTCTGTGAACATTATCAATAATACTAAATAAATTATTTAAACTTATTTTTGCGAAAATTGGAAATGACTTTTGGCGAAAATCGAACTCGCNTATTTTTGCGAAAATTGGAAATGACTTTTGGCCAAAATCGAACTCGCTGATAAGAAAGAAGGTAATTTTAATTGAAAATGGCCATCCCCGTTAAATCGATCTATCAAAAAATTTCGTAGTAGCTAGTATTGTAATTAATAATGTTTACCTTGTTTTCAAGTTTAATGTAGTGTTACGGAATTACTAAAGCGAATGTTAATTATATTAAACTAGTGTAGTAAAATTATATTATCCTATTGAAATTTTAGGTTAGTCAGTCCGGTCCTAATCAAGTGGTTCTCAGAGATGTTCAAAGGTACTTATCAGACAAATATCGATGTGAAGTGTCAGCAGACGCTCCTTCATTTCACACGAAAATTGTATCAGCGTGGTTGCACGTCGTATGTAAGTATAAAAACCATATCATGTGTGAGACATTATAATTTTATAAATGCTCTAAGCTCTAAATCTTCACTCAACATAACTTTGTGAGGTATTAGAAAACGTTGTCGGTGGATAAAGTTTAGTGAATATTACTTATTGAATGAAAAACTTATTCGAATTAACTGAAAATTGTATTTAAGGTTCGACAATTTCCAACTTTCCAAATTCAATTAAATTATTGAAACACAATGTCAGATTTGGTCTAACTTTGACTGACACATAATGGTTTATTAAACTTATTTTCCTATGACAAAATAATGGCTATAAAATCTAATTTAATGAGAGAATAATAATTTCCACATCGGAATAAAATTATAAAAACGTGTAACTTATTCATTATCTTGAAATAAAAAATAATAATTATTTTTAACGTCACTTTTTTTGTTAATATAAATCTTATAAGAAAATTTTGTACTTTTTAATATTTAATTAACAGTGGTTTCGAACTAAATTGTAATTATGTGAATGTTTCCGTGATAAGCTCTTCTTGTATCTAAGTCAAATTTAGATATGTGTACCCCAAAAAAGTTATTATTATTTATTAAATTTTTTTTGCTTATTATTTTGAAAAAAATATAAATATAATTCTAATTAGCTTCAATCTTATTATGGTGACTTTAAATCAGTCATAGGCTATAACTTCAGGTGTAGAAATATGAATTTTATTGAGGCAAAAGAAGTTCAGCCAAAGTGTATAATGATGAAATCTCAAAATCTAAATGTCATAAATGAATTTTGTAAACGTAGACCGTAAGTACAGTGTTATAACTAGGTCGAACTAACATTTAGTAGCAGTCACATATAATAATAGCAATCAATTATTTATTTCAAAATTTTAAAAAATTGATGAGAAAAATATTTATTTTTTTTTTAAATAATTTATATAATTTTATTTTTAGTACATAAAAGTAATTATAGAGTTGCTGGATTTATATATTGAATGATCTTTGTGTAATTGATCTAAGATAACTATAACAATATATAGTTTTATAAGTTTAATTTAAAAAAATCAGTTCGTGCTAAATGAATACGGTTTGCCGGGTTAAAATTGTTATTTAAATAAAACCGTTATGGAGGTATCTATTACTGATATTGATGGAAGAATTCTTAGTCTAAACATTTAAAATTTTATTTTCGATGTTTCACATTGTTAAAATATATAATATTAAAACATGTTATTTTAAGGGGTATAATAAGCACTTAAATATATTTCTTTGATATCCAATAAATTTTTCAGCATATAATCGCATATTATAATTTGTAAAATTTTTACTGAGCCCCTACAAACAAACAATAAATTTATCGACCCCTAAATCATATATTCCCATATGCTTCATATAAAATTTTATATTTAAAAAAGTTGACCCCTTTGTACTTTTAGATTGAGATAAATTTAAATATTTATATAAACTTGAAATTAGCGATCGTTTGTAAAGTCACAAATTCCAAGAACCATCTTTAATTCGTATTATTGACTGTTCGTCTTTTTTTTATAAAGATAATTCGAGAGTGAATCTTTTTTCACAAAATAGTGTCAACAACTCATTATTTCTGAAACTGAATTTTTGATAAGTAAAATGGGGAAAATAAATACAATTAAAATTGATTTTTTATCAGTTTTTTACCTCCCCAAAAAACTCACTGTTATCAGTTTGAAATCGTCGTTAGATTAGTGTTAGCTCTCCAACTACATACATACATACATACATACATATATATGTAATGATTTAATAAGCATACTACCCCGATTTTTTCGTTATATAATGATTTTTTTATAATAACGTATAGATTTAATTTAATTTATTTTTATAAACTATTGCAAAGTTTATCAAGAGAAAAATAAAATTGTGACTGGTAGTTAACTATATTTGTATTACTACTTTTTGAGATATTAGAATTCATTATTTTCAAACATACAAAAAAATTTTAATTAAAATTCATCAAATGGTAATTAAAAATATTCTATATTCATAATAATTGCATTCATGAATATGAATTAGAAGTAGTTTATTTATTAGAAGTACTCGTTATCGTTCTACGAGGAATCATGATTTATGCAGTTTCTTTTATGTAATACTGTTTTCAACTAGCCAATTTACATTGCAGTATAGTTTGAAATATTTTGTGGAAATAATTACAAAAAATCCTGGTTGACAACCACTTAGTAAAATAATCATCATGGTTGAAGGAAAGCCTTTGTCACATACCATTTTTGACAAATCAGACGGTCTTTCAAAAATAAAACAACACAATGATTGGGTCATTTCTTTCATTTAAATAATGTCACCTTTTGATTTCGAGTTAAAATATTTTTATGATCATAATAATACCTGAAAAGTTTATACGTAAATAGAATATGAAAAAATAAACAAACCACCTTCAGTTATTATAATAAAGAGTCAATAACTTAAAAAAATACTAATATTTAATATGGCAATATTTAATTAAAATGAGTAAACAAAAAAGTTTGAAATGAAGGAATACATTTTTTTCTCCTAAGTTAAGACATTAAAAAAAAAATTAAAAGATTAAATTTTATAAAATAATGTATAAACCTCATTTATTTCAAAATAAGTATAAAATGTAATATTTACAGTTATATTAGACTTTTAACACAAATCAAAATAGTTTTTTTTAATTCCATGCTCAAAATAGAGCATAAAAATAAATCTATTTCATTACTCAATATTGATGAATAAAAATATTTTATATCCCACCAAAACAAAATTCAAGTCTTATAAAATGAATAATAGACTTAAAATAGAATTTTTAAAGTATACTAAAATATAATATAAAAGTATAATAGCTTTTATAATCTATATTATGTATATAATTGATTTAATATTAGATCAATGATTTTGTAACGACTAAAAAACACTTCAAAATGATCCAAGATTTGATAACTATTTAACATTGTTTTATGACTAAAATTACATTATTAATTTTTATATTAGATATTACCATAGTTTATTTTATGTTTCAATTTGAAAAACTTAATTAGATAGTATTTTAAAAAAAGAAAAAGTTTAGGACTATTTATTTTTTAAATTATAGAACAGGACTTATGAATAATAAAAATATATTTTGTACTTTTAAAGTTATTGTGTGAGTTCATGAATTACTTTGTATTTAAAATTGTATTATTATAAATGTAAAACTTAATAGTTTTTGTTCTTATTTTTATTGATATTATTATTTTTTTAGGGTTCCTTTTTCTATATCATTTATACTAGAGTTTATAAATAATTAGTATACTATATATATATCAATTTTATCTTTATCTGTTTTATAGATTTAAAATGGCTGTAAAATGAGCATTTATCTGTAAATACTTATTTACTAAACGGTCGAAAAACTAACTATAACTATAAGGTTTCTATTAATAAAACTAAACCCTAATAGTTTTCCGGAATTAGAGATATTTTAAATTAATATGTTGATGCTGTCCAATAATCAACATATAGTTTATAATATACTATAATATTTATTGTAAATTAAATACGAAATCAATTTGAATTGATGTGGTTGCATTGCACATACAATACGATATATTACATACGGTAGATTGGCATTTTGGAAAGAACAAAATAAAAGTTTCAGTCAAAATTCGTTTTGTTGGTCTTTTTTTGAAGTAAAATCACGTTCAACTAATTTGCATTGCCTTTAATTCTCCATGGTAAAGCTAAAGAGTTCAAAACGAGATATTTTCGTTTTTAAATGGTATTATAATCCTTTGCGTGTTCTAATGCAATTCTAAAAACTGAAAAAATTAGCTTTGTAAAAATATTTTACTATATTGAGTCAAATTTAAAAGAAAAAACATTTAATAAAAACCAGGACGCAAAAATATAATTCTAGTTGTTTTTATCTGTTAAAGTCATAGTGTATTTCAGGGGAAAGAGAATAATGTTACCACATTTTTCAAATTAAACTGAAAGCTCAAAACATGTTTTCTCATACTATTTGTCATTTTATTTGTTTTGGATTTCTTCAAGTTTTTGTAGACAAAATTGTGTTCTCAGGATTAAAATCTACACAAGATGACGTTCGTTTAAACTACAAACCCCAGCTGGCATTAACGACTAGCTTGGATAAATATTTTTTGAGTATACGGTTTTATATCATTATCTTTTTTAAAATCGACACTATAGAAGTAGTTATTTGGTCTGATAAAAATCGGTCAGTTGTTTTTTATACTATTTAATTTTGGTGGTGAATTTTGATAAAAAATATACATTAATATAATATGTTGTTTTGAATTCATATTTAAAAAGTAAAATGAGAGTTGTCAACTAGCATTGAAATTGTTTTTTAGTCATTATCAGTCAAAGATAATAATAACATAATGACGAGTGTATGTGGTTTATATAATAACTTGGTGCTTAAACGTATCATTCTTGATAAGCTTTGAAACAATAAATCGACTACAATTTGATCATATATGACTTTCTTTTTTTTTTAGCCTGATGTACTTTGAAGATTTAGGTTTATTAGCAATCTTTTTTTCTATATAGAATTTTAAAAGTCAAGTGACTTTATTTTAAAAGAAACAATTATTAGAGAGTTTTAATATTTAATTTGATACATTTTTATTAATAGCATTAGGACATAAGTGTTGTCAATTTTAATTGATAATAAGTAAAACCATACAAAGAATTTACAAATTTGATTACCGAATATTTTATTTAATTTTTTAATTTTCTTACTAAAATAAATGGTTGGTCTTATACATCACATGCGCCACCCATCTAAGGGACACCTGCAATTTTCTCAGATCACATTACTAACAACCATTAAGGCATTAGTACGGTTTGCTATCTTAAACTTAAGATAAGAGGAATCAATTATGGTTATATGATGATGAGGCAAACAAATAGGTTAAGTTGAGGAGCAAAATTAAGTACAAAGTATTATTGCCAAATATCTTTTAATAAGTAAGTAATTATCAAGGCTCATAACTTTAGCGTTTGATTTTTTTTTTTGTCAGGTTATAGGCATTCTTACGTAAGTTATATATTTTTCCAGGAAACCAATAAGCTAAATACAAAATTTTATATTTCATATTTCGAAATTCAAGTAATATTTTGATTATTTTGCGTTTTTAGTACCGAAATTAAAAAAGAATATCAAATATATAAAACAAACAAATTTTTTTACAACTATAGTAACGAAAAAAATTTGATACTAAAGCAGCGCAAATTTATCTTTAATTAAATAAATAAAATATATATTTACACATACTTCTACCTTACATTCAATGATTTTTATTTAAGCTTGTTTATTTAAATATGATCGCGTATTGATTTTGTCTAAAATAGATTATTATTATTTTTATCAAAATATTTATGGACCGACCCGATTGCAGTCTTTAGTAATTGTATAAACTATATCGAAATAGAATAAGGATTTTTGGTGGTTTTGTTCAAAAGTTGAATTTATTCAATTTTTTTTATAAATAATCGTGAAAATTCATCTTTGAAAAGCGTAGAGAAATATGTTAAAAATGATAATATTTCACACATTTTTTTAATCTGAAATTTTTATACTAAATATATTTTAATATATAGACTGAGGAAGATATGCCAGGATATATTATTTTTCGTCATTAAGCATTTCTCTACCATACTACTTGTCCAATAGATGTAAAAACAGTTTTGAAGAAATTCTTTTGGTGAGACTATTTTTTCACGTTTAATACATTTAACAAATATCTAAATTGCCATTAAAAAAATCAAGTTGATACAATTATGAGGGATAAGAGGTTAAAAATATTTAACCACTTTTATTTGAAAAATATATACTACTCGACAATGCCAAAAAAAATTCTGAAAATTGTTATTATTATAGGAGATTGTCTGGTATCTGGTACAAGTCAGCCATAATACTCGTCCCGTTCATCAATAGCTCTTAGCCAAAAACTATCTTTGACTCCTTAATATGTGAAAGAGGGCCACCGCTTTTGTAACATATTAAGTTTGGAAAATATAAGGATGTAAAAATGATTGTTTTTTTCATTATTATTTTAGAAGAAACCTAACGAATTGACAAACGATAAATCAATCCACTTGTATAAGGGTAAATTTTTAATCTGGAGAGAGACCTATTAATTATTTCATTAATACTTTTCCCAGTTGAATAAAACTTTAAAATAAATAGTTTCATTAAGTTTTAGTTTTTATTTTTATAATATAGTATGTTAAAACTGTTGATTAAAATTGTATTCATCTCGAGAATGGGATAAATCGTTAACATTTCGTTATTCATTGTTTTCAACTTTTTTTCCTAAATCAACTCTTTAAGACAGATCTTAACTGAAATAGAAGCTTGAAAAGTAGTTCCTCCTAAGAGTTTAACAATGTTTTACTCTGGTTGTCATTCAAATTTCATTAATGAATTCTGTTAATATTGACTTAAAATTAATCGAAGTTTAATATCAAATCCTAAGAAGTTTATAAGCCACAAAGCAATACTCGGATCTTAAGTTGCTCTTAGAACTTTGAAAATAAAAAAAAGTTTTTATTTATGTTTTGCTGTGTTTTACAGATCCTCCGATTGGACGACCAATACTGTCACTTGAAAAGCGGCATTACACAATTGGTGACAAGTTGAAGGGTAATTGTACATCACCACCATCCAGTCCACCATCGAACGTTACTTGGTATCTCAATGATAAATGGGTAAGAAAATTGTACAGACTAATTTTTTCTAATTCTAATTCTAATTAAAGGGAAGTAGGCTGTATGAAATGAGTAAAATATATTTAAATAATATAAATAATTAACATAAATCATAAAATCTTATATATATACTAATATGGGTAGGGGGACATTTAATACTAGTGCCACAGTGGTGCAAGGACAAAAAAATAATAATATATGTAAAAGTCATAAAATAATGACAAATAATTTTGGAAATTAATCGCTCTTTATTAAAGAAGACTGCAGGTGAAGCGCGAGTCTATTTATTTTTATCTCTAAGCACTAACAAACTTCTTTTTCTCTTCCACCTTCCTATAAAAATGCTTATATATATATATTTAAAAGTTATTGAAATTTTAAAATAAAAGGAAGGATAGGAATAATTTTTTTTTTTTTTTTAATTATATAATGTAAAATAATCATAATTTATGTGTTATATATTTTTAAAGATTATGCTGAAGTCATAGTTAAACAATCACTATATAATTAATTGAAATCGATGTAATTATCTTAAATATAAATTTAATGTTTTCTTTCTTTTATTTTATTAATAAAAAACCCAGCACAGTGGGGTCGCGGCACAATGGGGACGTGGCATAGATGGATCCAGTATAAATGATATCTCACAATGATTAAAATCACTATCATAAAAGACACTTCGATACAAATCTGTAGGTTATGTTAAATTTAAAAAAAAAATGGATTATTCCAAAAGCTACATGATCTCTTATTTCGTTATTTATATTCTAATTACAAATTTTATGATTTATTAGCGTAATATATGAATAAATAAATAAATATATATATATATATGTATATTAATAATATATAAATATAAATAGTACTTATTTAAAAAAGAAATATAATGATCAATACATTTTTCAAAATGTTATAGCTTTACAAAGTTAAAATGTAAAAAAGAATTTTTTTACAAAAAACTTTTTTTTTTTAACTTTAAAGTTCGTTTTCACCATGAAAACAAAATATAGTCCGAAATTTTTTTTTTTTCATATTAAAATATATTGCATAAGCTTTAATTTAAGGTATATATAAAAGTGTCAGTATTTCCGGAACACTTTCAATCCCTCCCTGTCAACAGGTAAAGGATCAGATTTATAAAAAAATATATCAAATGATAGGTAAAGACATCATGCATCTATAAAAAATTATAAAGATTTGGTTATTTTTAAACAAGTTATGGCAGTTTTAAGTAAAAAAAATTTCGAAAATTAGCGATTATTAAATTTGTAATGTTTTTGGAGGTTTCTCTCATTTACGGGGAACAAGGGAAATTTTTTCAAGTTTTGGGGATAATGTCATGGACTAGATACGATTTGTGATCTTTTGACGTATCGTTGAAAGAAATCGGTTCAGTGAGAACTGAGAAAAAGTAATAACAGACACACAAAAAAAATAAAACACATCATAGTAAAACCAATACCTCCTCAGCTTCGCGTCAAAGCTAATAACATTCAAAATATTAATTAAAAAACATTTATAAAATATAGTTATATTATTTTTAAACACAACTTTTTTTTTATAAAAAAATGAAAATTAATAACAAAATGATGGTATATTTATGTGCCTATTAAATTATTAGCAACTGAAAAAAATAATATAAAAGAGAAACTATTGTTATTCGATTGACCATAAATTTAAATATTTTTTTTAATAAACAAATCAAATTTGTTTTTCATAAAGAATAAAAATATTTGAAAATATTAGTACATTTATTTGTCTATAACAATTACAAGTATATCAATTTATTTTATAACTTCGGTTATTTTTTATATTTAAGAAAGCTGTATCGTGTCATAAAAATGTTTTAACACTAGTACTTTTAACAATTTGTTTTTTTGGTGTATGAAAACAGTTCGTTATATTATTTATGTCAAATTATGTGAGTAATTACAAGTTTTAAACTTAAAAAGTCAACAATATTGACCTTCTTTCACGATACAGTTGTTTTTTAAGTTATTTAACATTTGCTATTTACTCAGTCAATGCTTTATTTTTAAATTTCCTAGATTCTAAAAAAAACCATTGCATTTAGTAATTACAATTTATTTCTATGTTTAAACGATTAATAACAACTTATCACGGAGTACAAATTTTAAACAGTTGTATACGTTTGAATGTTGTATAAAATTCGTATACAACCAACTGTTCAGATTTTTTACTTAACCTTTAATTAAAAATAGACGAATTTTAAGTTTAAATACTACTACTTATTAATTTAAAATTTTAAATTCCGTAAAATGAATATTTTACGGGAAAAATAATTTTGTTTTTCAAACAATTTGTTATATTTTATGAAAATTAAGTAGTAATAATGTTCTACTATAATTAGGTATTAATAAAAAAATTAATTTATTGATAAATAATTTTTTATTAGAATAATTCAATACTAGATAAATGTACAACATAGATACAACAAATAACTAGTTCATATAAAATGTATTAATGTTCTATATAGGATAAAGTAAATACAACTTAAGATGTATACAAGAAACACTTTTAAACTGTTGAAACATATATGTAATTAAACAATTAATAGGATTTGTTTAAAAAGTTTTTAAACCAGATTATTGTCAATAATTGAGTATAAACCCCAACGCTTATAAAATACTTAAAATGAGTTGCGTATTTAAGAGAGTTTTAGGATAAGCTTTCATTTATAAAACAACTGGTCTAGACTTTGATCTGATTCTTTGAAATGATAAAAACCAGAGTTAAAATGATGTTAGTTTTTATTTAAAAAGCGAAGTGTAGTAGTGATCCAGTAAAGTGGAATCGTTGCAATTTTTAGATTAGTGTTGATTGAAATCTGAATGATTAAATTACTGTTGCAAAACACTTCGATGCGTATTTGAAAAATATTTAAAAAAAAATTAATCATATCTACCAAAAATTATTTATTCTTTGACCTTAATGTTTGATTATTTATAAAGGATAATTTATTATAACATTATTCTTTTTTTAATCACATATTACATTAAAATACTATGTTTTGAAGTAACCTAGAATGGTGTAAGCATTCCGTTTCTATGAAAATTATTACAAAATTGGCTAATTTTACCAAAAATGAAATGATATTTTAATGTTTTTAAATAATTTAAAGGTCTTTTATACAAAAAATAGCAATAAATACTGTTGAAATTATTAAAAAAAAAAAATTAGTATTGCTAAAAATAAAAATTGAAGTATTGTTAAGCCAACGAAACGTTTTTTATAATTGCAAATAACAAATTGTAATCATCAAGTGTATAAAAAAAAAATTTATCTAACAAAAAAACCACTTAATAAAAGTAATAAAAATTGTAATACTTCCTTCAACAAGATTTTCCTAGATAATATAAAACTAAAAATATAAATTTGTATTAAGTAAATAATATAAATTGCATTATTTAACTTGATCGACATTATATTAAATTTTTTTTCGTATTTTGTAATAAAAGTTTCCGAATATTGATTAAAATTTCTAGGAAAAAACTTATGAACTCTTTTATGTTCCGAAAACTAAGATTTAAATATTAATTTCTTTTCTTAAAAGATCGCATAATTTAGAAACATACGTTTTATTTAAATATACTTCAATAATGGTAAACAATTATACGCATTTATATATTGTAAAAATCTTCTTAAAGTAAAAAAAAAAGTTAAATTTTAATATTTATAATTGAAATAAAAAATCTTTGGTTATTATTTAGTGTATTATAAAAAGAATTTAATAATAATATAAAATTTCTTAAAACAAATTTTCAAAGAAACAATTCTAAAAACTGATTAGTTTTAAACTTATATCTCATAAATATGAAAACCATTTATTATAACTACGGATGGCAAATATGAAAAAGTTCTATGAAAATTCATTTACTATTTTTTCGGCACTATATTAAATTAAGTTATATTTTGTTTATCTTTTAAAATGAATCAAATTACTTAAACCACAATAGTTTTCTTTAAGAATCAAAATTAATATCTGCACTTATTGTTAATACTATTGTAGTAATAATACTTATAAACTATATATATAGTAAATTATTGTTAAACTGCCAATAATTGGGTGAACGTTATATCATTTAACTTGTTCAAAACTTTGTTTCGATCCTTGCTCAAATTAAAAATTATTTCACTAACTCTCATCTATGAAAAATAAGAAAAAATAACTAATCGCATCAAGCAGTAATTGTTGAGATGATTCTTTAAGGTTCACCAACTATAAATAATTTTATTAACTTTTAAGTAATAATTTTCAGAATATATTTATATCTTATGGTAGCACTTAATACGGTTCAGCATTTAAACAATTTATAATGGTGAATTGAAATAATAAAAACAAAAAATCATTATTGTCAATGTTTTTAATATTTTCGTCATCTAAACCATAGAGTGACTTGATAATTAATTTAGAATCATAATTAAATTGTTGTTTATTCAAATAACTAAATTAGAACGCCATAACAATCATCTGTTACTTTAACAGTGATTTTAATAATTATAATTGCTACACAAAACCATTAGAACATTGTTACCATTGTTGTCGATATTCGTATAAAAATAACTTATTTTTCGCTGTTGACATACGATGATCCTTATGAAGCCTGCGTGTAAAATGATTTATCAATTCATTTCTAATCATTTAATAGCGATGATTTCAATGATGTGTTTCAGATGAACTCGAGTTTCGCTCGTTCGTTAGACGATGATTATGAGATCGGTCGGGGTCACAAAATGCGGACCACAACAGTTGGATTGGAATTGGAAGTAAATAGTTTCAGGGTAGGCAAAATGCGTATTCGTTGCGTGGCCGACTTATATGGTGTTTTCCGTACATCGACAGAAACAATACTGGACGAAGAGAAACCTCGACTCGCATCAATTTTGAGTACATTTTCGTCTTCGCCTAACGGTAATTATTAACGATATTCTTTATGATGTTTAAAATAATGAGCCCCGCCGATGTGGGGGGTTGAATTAAGTCCGTTGTGATCCTACACGTGAACGTGTACGTTGTGTTCATAGACGACGAAGTGCTGGATGAAAAATGTAGTGTAAAATAGGTTTAAGGAGGATTAAAGGCGGCGGCGATGGCAGCACATATTCCTCGCCAGTGGTTGTAATGTAATGGTCTCCAGTCGTGTAGAAGGCAATTTATTTGTTTGCCGTGAATGTGTGTGTGTGTGTTTGGTAGCGTTTCTGCAATAGCGTATATATCACACGATCTTAAAATCTACACAGACGCGTAAAATACAATGAGAAAAAAAAAAATAAGAAAAAGGCAAACTGTCCACCATACCGCCAATCCGTAAAACTTAATATTTATCATTTGCTTTTATCCAAACTCTTACGATAAACACAGATGTTTATCATTTCCATTAAAGGCTAGCAATAGGTTTTCCTATAGTTTCCTTGTTGACCAAACTTTTTTAAGATATTGGCAATCGGTTGAAAACAGGTGTCAGATTTATCCATTTTCCACCTCATTTATTTTCATTTTCTTTCTATTATATGTTTTGGTCGGATCAATTATCTTATCTGAAATTCCTGTCTAGTGTATTTATAACAAGTGGAACACAATTGATACCGGGTTTATTGGTTTTTAGTACAGACGATATTTTTCAGAGTTAACATCATTTTTCAACTCATTTAGAGTTTTAAGTAACTTTTTGATGAAAAAAATCATGTAAAAAGTGCTTCTCAGAAAAATAATAAACCGAACATAATTACGTTTTTAAAAATAAAACACCAAAAAGAAATTTTACATTAAGACAGTCGCATTATAATGCGTTCGTATGCCAACAGACGCTATAAAAATGGCTTTACGTATTCATATTTCTTCATATTTAATATAATGAATAGTAACATTAATACAATTAAAAAATAACTAAACTCTATTTTTTTCTTTTTTTAAGAAACATTTCTTCTTTACTTAGAAAAATAAACAAAAGTAAGTTCTAGGTATTCCATAATACTGATATTTTTTCACAATATAATTTATCAATACGCGAGTAAATAACGAACAAAATAATTTTAAAATTGAATTAATGTAGAACATAACTTAGATATTGAAGTAAACACAAAAAAACTGTCAATTTTATATACACTTATCCGATATAAGTAACGTATAGAATTTTACTTATTATTTATTAATTTATATATACTTGTATAGCAAATATATTACCAAAAATAAATTATTTTTAAAATATTATTTTCAATGGAAGACTTTTGTATACTGGATTAACAGAGATGATTTTTTTTATTATTATTTAAAAGTTTTTAGAATTGAAACCAAAAACACAACAACAAAAAAACCATGAATTTACCACTTAAGCTATTGCAGTCGCTTGTGAGTTAACGTGAAAAACATTGTTTTATTAATTTTTTTTTTTAATAATACCATATTATTTTAAGTGTTTTTTTTTTACTATAAATTCTAAGAACACGAAATTTAATTGATTACGACAAATTGTTATTTCAATTTAACTTATCTTATTTAAAAAAAAATTATACAAAAAATTTGAAAATATAACTACTGTAAATAAATTGATACTATTTATTTATTACATTTAATTTTGTAAATGTATATTAAATATACGATGTACAATTTTTTTAATTTCCATAAAGAAATATTTTGATTTTACATTCAAAACCAATCTATTGAAAATAATTTTTATTAAATGGTTCCATAAGTATATACTAGAAAATAAATCAAATGATTTTATTGTTATTGTTTGTTTAGGTGTGTCCAAATCGCCGTTTCTGTCACTTTTAGTTGTTTTAGTAGCTTGCATTTGGTTGAGGTAACCGTCAGTGTATTAATGACTTTTTGGTATATTGAAATAATAACAGAAANGCATTTGGTTGAGGTAACCGTCAGTGTATTAATGACATTTTGGTATATTGAAATAATAACAGAAATCGTGATTGTTGTTTTACTTAATTGAAATTTGTAAAAATACTGTAAAAAGTTTGTTAAAGTTAATTAATATATTTATTTTATTTTATTTTAAATGTATAAAAACATAATTCATATAGTTAATTTGTTAAACAAGATTGATGATGAAATGTAAATTTATTNATTTTATTTTAAATGTATAAAAACATAATTCATATAGTTAATTTGTTAAACACGATTTATGACAAAATGTAAATTTATTATACATAAAAAATTCACAAAAATTGAAATTATGATTTCATAATTATTGTTTTTGTACCATTCAAATATTTACAAATGTTTTGTTTTTATTCATATTTTATGAGCTATTATTAAGTTTATATTTGATAAATATATATATACAAATCAAAATACTATAATTATAATGTATAGTCTTAAAAGCTGTATAAATTGCTATAATAACCATACCATTATGTATCATGTAACTCATTATGTCTTCTATTATAAAGTTTAGTTAGATTTATGTTATCGGTGACATATTACTGTTACTTGTTGAATAAATAAATCATTTATTGAGCGGATCGAGTATTTTGAAATTACACAAATCCGTTTGCTCTTGCAGGCTGAATATGAAACGGCACATTGCATATGCAATATAGGTACACACATGTGTGCATTACAAATGATATAATTAAACTATTTGCAATAAGCTGTCTACAGAATAGCGCAGATGTGGTAATGCGATTATTTCTACGCATAAGAGTTAAATTTTAATTGAGTTATAAATGAGATAAATCTTAATATAAATAATTAATCGTAAAAAATGTATAGTTAGTAATTGTCAAATAAGTATTAAATTGTGTTATTCCGTTCATTTTTATGTGTATGGTTCAAATTATTTCACTAAGAGTGTATAACTGTAATGGTATCTTTGAATGGATTAAAAATTGAATATTTTTTTTTATTTTATTTTATTAATTAAAAAATGACACTTTATTTGAATGAAAAATGAAATTATATAAATAGAAAAATAGAAAAAAATCTCTCATGTACAAATAAAAATATAGTTAGATAATCAACAAACAAGGTAAGATATTGAATATACACTTATTTTTAACATTTTAGAATATTTTGCTGTTTTTTTTACACACTTATCGCTACAATGTCAAAAAAATTAAGAAATATAAAAACTCTCTTTTATTTAGATTATTATCCATTTACAACATACTTTTCATAACTGTTTTTTAAATTGGTTTATTTCAAAGAAGTCTATTTGTGCTCAAAATTTAAAATGTTGCCATTTAAGATTAGCCATAATGTTTAAAAATAAATAGAAAGCTTATAAAATATGTAAGAACATTTCACAATGTATAAATTAAGAATGAAAAGAATTCTCTATATTTTTGATGTTGTCTCTTTTAACATTTAAATAATTTTATAATGAAACCAAAGACTTGCGTTGTATATAAAAATTAAGTACACTTTCAGTCAAAATATGGAAAAATTATTTTGGTATTCATTCATAATACTATTTTTTATAATCTATAGAAAATTGAATGTGTTATATGTTGAACTTTTATTTCATAAATATATCTCTATTTATAAAGTATATATAAATCAATAATAAAAATAATAATCAACTATACTTAACCAGTCGTAAGCTGATCAAATATAAATATCTATTTAGGTTCCAGTAATACCAACATTTAAGAACAAAAAGGTTACTGTTGTTATCCTTGAAATTCTTACTCCATCGATGTAGATGATGATTAAATTTAAAATGTTCATGGAGTTATGTAAAGACATTTTGTATTGAACTTTTCATTATTGAAGTTATGATTGAAATTAAATGAAATTTAATCTAAGGGACAATAATGAAACCCAAAATTGCAACTGGCAGCATGCTTTAATTAAATTCAGTTAATATACCATGTAAAAGGGTAGGTTTGGCAGAATTTGATAACGTACATGCTTAAGCAAAGCAGTTGTCTGAGTGCGCCTGGACAGTAATGAAGGTGTGTCGCCAACACAACGCTGTTAACAATTTGCGGTAACTATCTAAAGAAGAAGTGAGTAAAAGGGGTATTTTAGTGTTGTAACAACAAATACTGGCCCCACGCGTGTGGTCAGCATTTGTTGTCGCCATTCTGATGAATTATTCAATATTCGTTTCTCCAATTTCGGTAACTATCAAAATAATGTTCTACTCGAGAGCATGTGCGCGTACAGCATTTTGATCGGACGGAAGTCAATACTAGACTGATAAAATGTGATAATCCTTGTATTTAATATTAAAAAACAAAATACAGGCTTCTAAACACCTATACTAAATTGAACCCTGGGTCGCGGGGCAAAGTCATATTCACCCAATACAAAACAAGTTGCATTAAACGTGTTTATCCACCTTATTTGAATAATTTTCAATTTAAATAGAATAGAATAAATTACAGCATGTATCTAGTTGTTCCAAAAAAAAGAATAAGTTGGAATTCTTTTGGAATAAATTTACCATTTAACATACGACCTATAGGTACTACACTTCTGTCATGAATTTACAATAAACTAAATAGAAAAT